TGTGTGGGTTTGGGTGGTTTGAGGGATTTTGTTTGTTGGCTTATTTGTATGTTGTTTTGGTTTGTTGTTGGTTTGTTGTTCCCCTCCCTCTTCCTCCCCTCCCCAAAAGGCTTTTGAATCAGACTCCTAAAACTACAGTAAAAATCTTCCAGGTTTGCAAATGAAGTGTGCATCTCTGCATCTTCTGACCTTTTGCGTGTCTCATCCTGAGCTCTAAATAGCTGGTTGCTGGAGGAAGTTGTGTGTAATACTCTCCAGGCTTTTGTGCAGCTAAACCAGCTGCTTCTGCATTATTTATTATGCTTTTGTTTAATTTCCTTTAGCTTTGTTTCTTAAAATAGAACTTATAATGGGAAGATGCCAGTAAAACCTGCAAATTCATGAACTACTGGGGTGCATTTCAGTGCCTGCGTGTGTACTTGTGAGCATCTTGAGTTTGGTCGTTAGGTAACTGATTGGCAAAGTCACTGCAAAGCTGGCAAAAGCAAGATATGTTCAAACAAAGGCTGCAGAAAGCAAGAAGTTATGTTTTTCACAGTGCCAGTCACCTTCAGGGCTGGGAAAATTCAGTAAAAGGAACTTGTAATGGAAAAAGCTGTGACTGAAGCTGTCCATGTGTCATCTTGGAGAGGAGAGACCCCAACAAGACTAAGTGAAGTTTTATAGTTAAAAATATCTGCATTTTGAAGAGTGACCTATGATAATTTACCTAGAAAACAAACCAAAAATCTTATTTAAATGAGCGTAGTCCAGGCCACAGGATAATCCAGGTTATAAGGGACCTCAGGAGGTCTTTAGTCCAGCCTCCTGCTCAAAACAGTGGCAACTAAGAGGCAGTGCAGGTTGTTCAGCACTGCAGTCAGTTTATTCTTGGAAGCTTCCAGGGATGAAGACTGGGCAAAGCACTTGTAGTAGTTTATCACCACCCACGGTGCTCAGTGAATATTAAGGCCAGCACACACAAGGTCTGGTCCAACTCTCCACCCAGCGGCAGCCACAAGGAACAGGCAGGACTAGTGCAATGCTTTCTTACACCCCTACCAGCTCACAGCTGCCTCTTCTTCACAGACAACTATGGGTTTTTAATTTTATTTTTTTTTTATTTTTAAAACTGAGCTCTTCCCTGTTTCCCCATCAGGCAAAATACTAAACGATCAGTGCTCCAAGTTTGTTAAAAAGGTACAAGAGCAATTGACAGTAATGCAAAATGGGTACTGAGAACACACGAAGGTCTTGATCACAACGCAAACTAACGAAGAATGGCATTCATCAAATAGCCTGGGAATTATTAACATCTCTCCAGTGTACATGTGCGTACCTACGAGCACACACAAACCGATTCCTACAACTCTTCAGTCTTAAGGCCATTCTGTTCATACCAAGTTGTTTATCTTGTAACAGAGCAAACTGCCAATTTGAAGCAGAATGTGGAAACAAGCTACAGACTTGTTACCTATGTTCTCTTATATAAATGATTAATTCATTTACTATGGATTATCCAGAAGTTTGTGCTTCTTTATACATTAAAACAAAAGTAACCAGATGTTAATGATTAGATATGATCATTTTAAAGATATTTAAAATATTTAAAATACTGAAATGCTTGCCAGATAAGGGACTTGCGATTAGGGGTTTTTTTGTGCAATGACTGTAAAACCCAAATGTCATGATTTCCTTAGAAAAGGAGTAAGTCACTTGGAGAATCTGGTAAGCACTGAAAACTATGCAGGAGTTTGTATGTCTGATATTTACACATTAAAAAGCTCATACTGCTTTGTCTAAAAAAGAGAGAAGGCAGATGAAACTGCAACTTAGGTTTGACTTAGGTAATACTTTTAAATATAAATTAAAAATCCTGCCATAGTGAAACTAAGCTGCACAAAGAAATTAATGATTTATACAATACCCTCAAACAAGTACAGAATAATTAAGATAATTTTAAACCACTGATGTTTCTCTCATGAATTCCTCGAGGACGGTCACTACGTTTCTGGCTTCTGGCATTTCTGCATGTTCTACTTTAACAATCTTCAAAAGGATGTCCCCACTGCCACAGTTCTTCAGAAACATGTAGCACTTGAACAAGGCGTAGTGGTTCATCTCAGCCTGGCGGATAAACCTCTTCAGGTTGTTTATGTCTTGTATTGCCTGGGAAAAGAGTAACAGAGTGTTTTCTTACCCTTCTACATGGGAAAAAAAAAAAACCACTACCATGTGGAAAAGTGCAGGAAGAACAGCAGGAGAAGCAAAAGCACTTCCAACAGCAATTTTGTATTATTACTCAAAAGAGTAATGTAATTATTGAGTACTATCTCTGATGCACTGCTATTGTAATGATGCAAAACGTGTGGACACCACAACTTGATCATGTCCAAACTCGTATCAAGAGCTCTCCTCTTCTATTATGACAGATCACCCAAGAAGGATTAACTCTCTATCCGTGTTACCCAATTGCACTATAATGTGTGCACACAGGCCAAATTCCCAGTATTAAGAAAAAAGAAAAAAAAAAGTGGGTTTTATTTTAAATATGGGAAAATGCCTTTGGAGTATTCACTGAAGAAACTTTCACACCACTTTACATTCTGGTCAACTACAGTAAGCCAGTTCTCAACTTAAACTTCAGAGTTAATCAGTTAATCATGTATAGACATAGTAAGTAACCTAAAACATTTCTTTGCTGCAAAAGGAGTATTTGTTCCCTCGGTAACCCTGATGTCTTCTCCAAATCTTTAACATATATGAAGAGGTACCTTCAATTTAAAGTTTTCCAAAATCTGCCGGAAGAGAAATGGATTTCCACCTTCAGCACCATTCAGAAAAGCATGCATCCAGTCCTCACAGAATTTGTTGCTTCCTGTTAAGTGTTCCAGAACACAAAGAAGAGATAAGAAAAAGTAAATAAGCTCAATGTAAATATGTAGCTGCATTTGTCTGGTTTAATCACTTTCACATGACAACTGATAATAGTATACTGGGGCCAGGAAAAACAATATATGTGGAAAAGAAAAGAAAGCGTAGGTACAGTGATTACATGAAATTCTATTCCAATTGTTCAATCCCTTTTCACAACATTAGTCAAAAATACAACAGGGAAGAAAAAAGTTTAGCAGCTTCCTTGAAGTATGGAAGTCATAGCTTCATGGTCCACAAACTAAACGCACTATGGATTTTATTATCAATCATTTTCAAAAGAGAGCTCCAGTGTACCAGGTAAAGCAAGCTACTCTGCTCCCTCATAGGAAACCAGGTGTTATGGTTTCCAGACAGAATCCAAACTTTCTGGGCATGAACTTAGGAGCTTCTGAATATTCTAAGCTTGCAGCAGCTGAGGGATACAAGTGGGTAACATGAAGAAGCATTCACAGCTGTGATCTCACCTGCATTATGCAACTGAGGCTGAGGTCCACTGCAGTCTATAATCATTGACTTGTGCTGTTCCTCGGTCATGGCGATACACAAGGAGGTCATTGTTCCTTCCTGAACAAGTCCTTGGAGACTGGCAGCTGCCACAAACCTGACACAAAAAGCTCTCGTGAACTGCTTGCTTCTTTACAGTTCCTGAACAGCAACAACAGGAGGGCATCGTATGCAAAAGCTGTTACTCACAGGTTCCTTGGTCTCAAAGTATCTTTACCTGCTGATGTCTTTTTCTGTTCTTTCATCTGCGTTTTTTACTTCTACAGGAGTGTAACTCAAAGCCTTAAAACAAACACAAAACCAAAAAACAAAAAGGAAGTTGGGTGCAACTTTGTGATATTGCAGTTACTGGCAATAAATACATAACATGGTAATTCTTCAAAAATTGTTCTTTTCAGAGAAAGAGCAGAAGCTATGGGAATACTCCATATTACAGTCACTGCAGCTAGTTTTGCATTCAGAAGAAATACTTCAGTTTTAGTCTATTTGCTATTCCATCCAAGCCCTCCTCAAACTCAAGGACTAGAGCTAGGATTGATTTCTTTTCTGCTTCCAGTGAATTACATGAGGCACATACGCAATATAACATCCCTTTTGGTTCAGAGGAATTAACAGCAGCAACAGTTTTCTCATGCTGTTTCTAATTTTCTCATTCTGATTTAAAACTTGGACTCTACTATGTACTTTAAAATGATTTAACTATGAAAACTGAGAGAAGAAATTGCTATGTGCTTCCTTAGCAATAAAGCATGGGAAAAGTAATTAAAAAAAAAAAAAAGAAAAATATTGTTCCTTGTTTACTCCTGGTTGGGAAATCAAATGCAAGAAACTAAACATGCTGGAATCACTGAGCTTCCTTCTGAACCTTTTTAAGTTATCCAGTTTGAAATACACTCACAGCATGCAACAAGGCAGCGAGTTTCTCCTGGAAGAGCTGGACTACCCTCTGGATAGGGCATATGGCATCCTCGAACCAGCTGCGCAAGTAGGGCTTAACATAGGTCTCCAAGTTTTTTTGCTGTAACAAGTTGAAAAACTAAAATTTTAACTACAAATTACACTTCTACACAAATAGAAGCTTATTAATAATCTATTCAATTTCGATGTCAGATCCTTCTTAATTTCAAACCACAGTAGACTAAAATAATAAGTTTGACATTTAAAGTGACACTTAAGTGGAACATCAGCAATGAAGGGCTTTGCATTTTAATAAATAGACAGAACTGAAATATTATGGTATATATATACTGAGCAGAGACCATGCAACAGCAGATGGGATGAGACAGACTTACAATGCATGGTTTCTATTAGAAAAATTGTGACAAGAAAAACACTAAAAATCCTTCTTTAACATCCAGAAGTGGTAAGAATCTAGTTGGACATTGATAAATTTCCTGTAGGCAGTTACCTTTTATTAGTCATTCTTCTTTCTGAATCTAACTGCAAGTGACCTTTAAGAGATTTATGACTAGCACAAAAAAAGCTCCCCCCTCCCCTTTTTTTATTTTCCCTTTTGATTTGTATGGTTAATTGCACTTAAGACATTCACTGTCACTATGGTAAATCAAGTACCTCTCACAGCGTTTCATACTGGTATTTAAACCACCTATTTTATAGACTAAATCTTCCAATATTCTTAGTAATTAAGTGGTGAAAATTATTATTTATGCAAATAGAAAAAGAACAAACTTAGGCCTCACCTCCAAACCAAGTTTTATCTTCAGACTTTGAATGTATTTGTCCAGCTCAAGTCTGAAAGTATCTTCTTAAGGAAAATATGATGCATCAGTTAAGACCTGCATTTTTCCCTTTCAGCATATGGCTGTTACCGACATTTTCAGTTACTGGAAGGTATGCACAAACGGGCTGATTTCAAGTAGGAAACAGACAGAATAAGAACATAATTTTTACATCACCTCCTCCTCCACACAGGTCAAGAAAGTTAAAGGTAAGGATATAGTTCCAGACCTTTCTCTGAGCCACCTAAGAAACAAATCACATATTCTGGAGTACCGATGTCTGATTCCAGTGTTGCCATTTCTAGAAGATTTTCTTGTTGGAAACGACAGTAATAACAGCCAACTTTATTTTCTGGTATGCTATGCAGAAAAAAAAAAAAAGAATTATTTTGTTACATATACATCCCAATAATTAAGTGCAAAAAGTAGACATACATGATTTCTGTAAAGAATTTTCATCCGCTGCCACTTGTAGCTCCACTGGTCATACATACAGCTCTTAGACCTTCTCTTTTTTCCTCTGTGGTCCAATCAGAGTAGTTTAAAATGAAATAGTCATAAATACATGTAGTATTTTTTAAGTACTCAAAGAGTAAATTATTTACTACAGTATTTTTGTCAAAGCTACCTAGAAAAAGAGGGAAGTCCCATTGCGTAAAGCTGTTACTAACAGCAGCAATAGACTGAGAACTTGGAATCAGGATTAAACCTAAGCGCAGCAGCAGATGGCAAGATGTACAACGCTGCCAATGTTTCTGACAGTTTCTGATTCACAACTAATTTTTAAAATTTACCTCAGCCCCACTGATGCTACATTCCCCATTCCTTCAAACAGGGCTCCTTTAGTAAGACGCTTAGCGATAAAACTGCGCAATTCAGTCTCCGCTTCAGCTGGTAAGTTAGTGTCCAGCAAGGAGAGGCTTTAAAAAACAAGAAGAAATTGTTAGCAAAAAGCAAACGTTACTGTTTTGTTCGTCTGAACAAGTGCAGAACCACCTGTGTCTAGAAGGGGGACCACAACGAGGTCTCTCTGGCTTACAGCTAACTCGCCCTGTGACTTCTGGCCCATCAGAAATGCACATGGTGGTTTGTCCACAAGACCAGAAGTCCGGAGTTGTGGTGTCAGCTGATGCTCACCAGCTACGAACAAGTCACTGCCCCTCTTTGTTCCTGTGTTTCCCCTGGTTGTAATAACACAGCAACAACTCCATTACAGAGCTTGTGGAAAGACAGAATGCCCACTTAAAATAGTTTAATACATTTTAATTATCTACATGACGACTCGCGTCAATACAGAAATGTCAAGCATTAGTAGCAGAGAAAACAGAGTTCGAACTCAAAAGATGATAGCTTATTTGAGTTATTTGAGCTCTGTAGCTGTGTCCGTTCCATAGGTATTCCAGAAAAATCACCCAGGGGACTTCAGTTCGCTTTCACAGAGATTTCTGTTTTGACTGCAACGTACTGGCTGACTATTCACCTAACAGCAATACGGCAAAGGCTTCAAAACGGGGTGTGAGAGGCGATAACGCCGTTGTGCAGATTGGCTCTACCTGAAGTCTTCGGCGGAGGGTGTCTCTGCGGCCGCGCTGCCGGGGCTGCCATCGCCGCTGCCGGCTCCCTGCGGGGACCTGAACATCCAGCCATCGTTAACACCGATTCTACAGCCTTAACGCAGGGGACTGCAGTGGGGAAAGGTATGGCCTGAGGGCGCCTTAAGGCAGGAGCAGGGAATCGGGAGATGATGGGCGGGGGGAGGAATAAAGGGCGCTGGAACGGCTGGGAACCGAGCAGGCCTGGGAGCGGCCTCCCCGCGGGGCGGCCCCGGCGCCCACCGGCCTCACCTGCAGCCGCGGTAGCCGTAGAGGCAGTGGTAGGTGCTGCCGTGCCGCTCCGGCCGCCGCTCCTCGCCCGCCCCGCCGCCCTCCTCGCTGCTCTCCAGCTCCCGCTCCTCGCCGTCCGCCAGCCCCGGCAGCATC